ATTTTGGTGTAAATTTAATTTGGGTGTATGTTTCTTTGGTCTACTTCAGATTTTAGCATAGGTAACCATGTATGACTTAAATTAAATGAACATGAAGCAAAACAATTATTTTGATTTAGTAAAATTAGTGCGCTTTCTTTAATTTTACGTTTTTTTGTGGATTGTTCTTTTGTTAAAATTGTGGAATTATTCCATTGAATTTTATGGCAATGATGATATGGCAACAATGATGTATGATTGGTGTTCTTTGAGTCTTTTGTGTAATGGTCTTGAGGTTTCTCCTATATAAAATTTATTGCATTCGCAAGGAATTTTATAAATTACATTTTTTGTATTTTCAATTATATCATGAGGTTTTGTTACTGAAATTTTACTTCTAATTGTATTAAGGTTTTCTAGACATAACTTGCTCTGTGAATCTACCAGTAGGAGCTGAAAATAAAATAATTTACCCCTTCAAACTGCGCCACTAATTAAATAAATTGATGCGGCATAAATATCGAATTTGTCGATTAAGCTATCATTGACTTGGTAAATGCAAAATTGCACTGTCGATTCATAATTCATGAGCGTATGACTTTCCGCCATTTGTAAGACTAGTCGCTCCAGCAACCTGCTAAATATCAAGCAAGCACGTTACATAATTTATGATCTCCAAGTTAATAAAGCTTATATAATGATGATTAATTGGCTTCGTTGCTCCTATTTAGATGATATACAACTTAATCTCGCTTGATGTATTTTAAGGATGTGGATGGGCGGAATAATTTTTGAAAATTAGCTGGCATACGGACTGCTTATTGAGTTATGCGCTATCGGCAATTGATGCGCAATCTGTGCACATTGTATATGAATTACGTCCAATCTTGGCGCGCTTATCGCGTAAATATTCAATTTTCAAGAACTAAGTGGTCTGATCGGCAATGGCGCCCAACCTTATTAATATCAGTCCACTGAGATCGAGCGCATTTCATTAATATCGCCTATAAAAGCGATATTATTGGTAAAAGCCGCTCCTGTCGTCACCCATATATTGCGAGGAACCGCCAATTTCCCTAAAATAGACCCGAGGCAAGACGGGACCTGCATGAGAATCCGAGTAAACTTATTAGACAACAACAATTTGCATATTTACATATGGTAATGGGCCTGGATGCCAGATAACACGCTGTACACTAATCTAGTGACTGACTTCGACCCCAATTTTAAGGCTGTGTAAACATGGAACCGGAGGTTAAATAAGCTACGCTTCTTGGACTCTAAGATAAATAGCGAGTTGACTTTGCAAATTAATTTTCAAATCATTGTCCTCCTATCTAATGTTCAACACGTACTATTTGCTTATCGTTGGCTTTATTACTCGGATTTTGCCTTTCTAATACCTAATGTTTTAGAGATTTCACTTTCAGCTGATTAAACTAGACTATATATATATATAAATACAGGGGAGATATTTATTTTTTAGCTCAATTCCTATAATTTTGTATCGGGCTCAAAAGTCAAACTTACGAAAAGTTGTTTCATGACCGAAAAGTCGAAAAAGTGGCTGATACGCTCGATTCTATTTTCATCTACTGTTTCTTCCAATCCAAATCACTCAAAGTGCCTTAACCGTTATACCACTTTCACCTCAAAGAATACACGGAAAAATTAAAAAGCACGTAATAACGATATTAAAACATAAAAATACCATTCTGCTTAAAAAATATCCATGAAAACGGGAATCAGTTTGTCCAATTAAAACGCTGCAGCTTACAAAATCATTTTGTTTGCCGTCAAGATATCTGCCTGAAAACAGTAAAGTTTCCCCCCCTTTGTTAAAACCCGTATTTGACTAACTTTTCCATGATACCGAACACTTGAAAAAGATTATTTTAGAAATACCTAATTAAAGTTAATTGTCGCCCAAGAAGTTTTCACCACTCAGTGAATTTGTTCACTGAAGCTTTTATGCTAATACATAAAGTTTAAGGTATTATTTTTAAGGTAAGGATTTTGTATTTTAATGAAATTACAGCAAATTGTAACGTAATCTTGGGGTACAGTTTTAAAGTTTCCGGGATCGATGGACGTTTTTTAATAGGTTTTTACTTTTTTGCAAATTAGTTTTCTGCTCGTGTTATTCATTTGTCAACTTGGTATCGCGTGATCCTGCAAGGGCATGTCATGCTGGTATTTAGCTTTTCTGAAAATTAATCGTCAGAACAATCTGAGAAAAACCAGTTTTAAGCAACGTATTTCCAAAATATTAATTAATTTTATGTAAAACAATAAAATGAAAATGCCCGAAATGGATGATAGTCCACCCTGTGTCACGATTAGTTAGTTTTTCAAAATTTTTTAAATTTTACAGCATTTACTTCTTTATTTTCTTGGAGTTGACTGGAGTGTACAAAATATGACCGAATAACAGATGTTCATGTAACAAAGTACACATTTCGAGATGTGTTAATCTGAGGCTCCACAAGGATAGTTTTCGAGCTTATTGTCTCTCAAGAGCTGTGCTTAGCCTGAAAATAACATCATTAGAAAGATATTTTTATCACAATGTTTGGGTTGGTTCGGAAAAATAGCTTTGTATTTTACAAGACTTTCAAATTTGGTTGACACACGAATTTTGGTGATTAACTTCAATTAAAGTAGGTACAGTGTGATAAACAGTAGACCTGGATTACATAAATATTTAGATTGCGGTTCATTAATACGAACTTATGCCCCAACATTGACCATGTTTGCTTCCAGGTATTGCATTTTAATTTCAGTTAGGCATACATAATTTGTAAACCGCATTTATTCGAAACCGATGTGCCTTGGGGTTTGATAAATAATTAAATTCAATCAGGATCCAAACCACTTGATTGAATACGCGGCATTTCCAATCATTCGAAGCAAGAAACATTTTGAACTTTTAATTACAATTTTCTTCCATCTGGCTTATAGTTTGATGGAAAAAACTTGATTTGGGGCACATGTGATTTGCCAGAGCTTTTCTGAATAGGAAATTGAAGCTAGAAGCACCTTGGTTTTATTTGATTCCAAATTGCGGCCAACTTTCCATGTACATTTCAATTTTTTCAACTCAGTGAAGAGCAGCGGTTTTTCTCCGAGTTTGTTCACAGCAAAACTAAAATGTTATTACATCGAAGTCAAAAGAATCTAATTTCCGATAGGAGCAATAAATGATCGTTTATAACCGATCACATAACCCCCGGTACACATTGTTGTTCCCGTTTTGTGTGAAGTTATCCGAATGCAAATTGATAGCTTTTGCCCATCTGCCTAATTGTGTTACATGTGCACTGTTCGTATAACAGTTTGAAAGTGAGTATGCATAACACCATTCTGTAATAAAAACTGCGCAAATTTGCACTGATTGGTTTGGAAAACATGAAATCGTTCATGAAAAAATCCGTTTTTTTGGTAGTAATAATTCTTTAAATTGTATTTCAACGATACCCACGGTTTGCTTGAATAAACCGCCCACAAACTGTGTAATCCACAACGCAATCCTGCTTGGACATACTTGTTTCAGATTACCCAAATTCTAAAATATTAATTTTTCATCCCCTGCCTGAAACAGGATAGACTGTGTTGAAAGATTAGAGAATCAGGGCGAATTTTAAAACGGTTTTGCATGTTTTTTTTTCGTTGCCGCTTCGTCTAGTTGAGCTCCTTTTTGCCGGCGGACTTGTCGGGGTGTTATCGTCCGATTAAATTTTTGTTGTTTAGCTGTCGCATTCTTTGCGCGAAAAAAGGGGGAATCTGAGCAAGGTGAACTGCCTCAATGTTTGCAATGCTCTGGAATGTTTTCGGTCAAGCTTTGTGGAATGTTTGCCGCTGAAGTTGTTTGGTTCGCATTCGCATTCACACTCTAGATGACCCACTTTGTTCCACTGAAGGGGAAAACTGATTGCTGTATTGAAAATTTTTAGAGTGTTTGTTTTAATTGTCTCATTGCTGCTAGTGCGTGAAGAACTGATGTCCATTTCAATTAAGTATAGAGTTGAACCGCCTTGTTCCATTTCAAGTGCCTGCCGTTTAACAACAAATTCTTCAGCGTTTGCTCTCCAAACTCTCTGGAGTAGAACGTTCCATGAAATTTCAATTAGGCCATCTTCAAATGTTCCTCAACTTTGGAACATTAATAACATTCCCAAAGTATTTCCTCATTAGTTTGCAACGTTCTGCAACGAGTCAATGGCATTGTGCAAATATTCTAACAAATTAAAATACAGGTTCCAATTAAATTATATGTACGCCTGCCATATAATGCAGGAGTTGCCTTTGTCTCTCGCCTCCATACCGGAAATTGAACCGGAATGAATGACACCTACATATTCCGATTGTTAACAGCAAATCTCTAAACTTGCCTTTGTGAATGTAAAACACGCTTTGAAAAGGAAATTACAATTGAAACGATATGACAGCATTTTTGGTTTTACATGCCATTCAGTCGCAGTGACAATGATTTTAAGAAAACCTCTCATTTCTGCTGGGATTCAATTATGTATATTTTCGTTTTAATTTGTTGGGGAACAATTTTCTTTGTTTCGTAGTTTGTGTGTAATGAGACATTCTCGAATTTTCTTGCTATTCCCGAAATTGCTGGCTTCTGGCTTATCTACACCCGAAAAATCACATCCCCATAGTATTCAGTTCAATCCTGACGTCTGTTTAGAAAATCCATTCTCAGCATTTTCTCAGAGTAGTATTTAACATTGTCTTGAATGACTCGTTGATTCTTTGTAACATCAGCTGTCATATTGTCGTTAACTTGCTGAAAGTCTTCACCTGCTTTCGCCAGAAGCGTGTTTATGTTGTGCCCAACTGAGCTTTCAGTTGGCAAGTTTGGCAGGCTTTTAGATTCAGCAGCGTTTAACGATGAAATCTAGAAGTACTTACTTTTGCCTTTCATCGGTTTTTAGAGCAACTTAGAACATTGAAGATCCTACCTGTAAGAGGCCTGTTGCTGCCACTGTTTGAATATTCTCATCAAACGTCTGCTTAGTTTGATCAACCAGTTTTGCCATGTTCAAATTGATCTGATTAAAATCGCTTCTAATTTGCTCATTAAATTCGAGCAGCTCTTTCTCAAATAGCTGCTGAAGCAGGTGCTCAGCTTCAATTTCTTCCGGCGGTTTATTTATGGGATTTACAAACACCTGACCGATATCTGGAGATAAGCTGTTTCGAGACCGTTCCGCTCTTGTACTTTTCGCCACTAAATCTGTCCTGATTTTCTTATTTACGTTTGCAAATATGGCATTAGTTGTTTCGGTAAAATCCTCTTTTGAATCGTCGTGTTTAAACGTTTGAGCTATTAGATTATGCAGTTTCTGTTTAGTTTCTTCAATTAGTTCCTGTGTGTTGGCATACGATGTTTTAAAGTCCTGTTTAGCGATGGTTTTTAATTTGTCGATATTCTCTTGCAAAATCATCTCGTATTCGTTGGCAATACCTGTAGATTGGTCCGTGGTGGGCTGAAAACGACGTAAAATATTTTTTACTTTTTTCGTGTAGTTGTCTTGTACAATTTTTACTTTTTGAATAATTTGCGCTTTCCAGGAAGAGACAAGAGCTGCGTCTTTTTCTATCAGGTCCTTAGTTGCGTTTGAAACAGTTTGCTGTACTTCTTGTACGTATTCACTAACAGATTGTTTGATGTCGGAAATGCTTTTTCTTGATTCTGCCATTTTTTTGCTTTTTGTATGGACTGGAATTTTCGATTTTTGTCACTGATATTAACCTGATTTTATCGGCGTATGTCAGAACTGTCTGGATGGTTTCAGTTGCCTAATTTTTCACCTTTTCGAATTAAGCCTTTTAGCAACATTCATGTTCGGCACAAAACTGATGCCGGGATTTAATTGAAAATATAACACTTGTGCGTGTTCTCGTTCTCACTGTTGTTAAAAATCTAAATCGTTCCCCTTAAACCTTCCGGGTTAGTAAATCGATGGTGAATAATTGAAAAGCCAGGCGTGACTGCGATTATTATATTTTATGTTGTTTATAGTCGTTTCTTTTAATGCGCTTTAAATACGATTAACACAAACCCATTACGTGAGTGGTGTTTGTTCCCCACACATTATTTGACTTATTGTATGTAAAATACACAAATCAGACATTTTTCCTTGAAAATATCGAACTGTTTCCTGGATTATTTACGTTGGAATGGTTTAGCTCCCAAAGGAGTTCCCAATTTTGCCCATTTTACAAATGCCCATGAGTTTTGGGTACGAATACTTAAATAAAACTTAAATTTTTCTTCATACCTTCAACAGCTAGTTAAATATTCAATAGGCAACTATGAAACATGCGCTTGAAAAATGCGTGTATAAAGCACATTAGAAAAAGCTCATTCGCAGGTTTTGCGATAAAACTTTTAAGATAAAATGTTCCAAATTATTAATTGCTGTGTAAGCAAAAATTCCGTTTGGCTCAACTTCGTGTAAAACGAGCTATTGCTCGATTATTTATCGCTTTTAGCTTCAAATTAAATCAGTTAACTTCTTTTATGGAAATCCTGCAAGGTCATGCCATGCTGGTATTTAGCTTTTCTGAAAATTAATCGTCGCAATCTGAGAAATACCAGGATTAAGCAACGTTTTTCTAAAATACTATTTAATTTTATGTGAAATAATAAAATAAAAATGCCCTAAATGGATGATAGTCCGCCCTCACTCTAGTCTCTACTAGTTAGTTTTTTCAAATTCACATTTACATCTTCATTTTCTTAGAGTTGACTGGATTGTACATTACTGATGGAAATATGACCCAATAAGAGATTTTATTTAATTCAGCAATTTAGGCATTTAACTATCAATAGCGAGCGTTTTTTGCTGACTTGAGCCCCTTCATCCCATAAAACTATATTTTTATTTGCACAGCAAAACCTGTAGGGCAAAATCAAATTTTTGACTGATTTTGTCTCGTTTGATATCAATTTGGGGATTGAATTGGCACAGTCACTATGACTGTGAGAATAACTATGAAAGTTACACTGAAACTGTGTCATTTTTGGAAAAATTGATTTCTCGTGGGAAATTAACTAGTAGTAGATTAAAGGCCGTATTTCAACCCGGTGGAAGTTTTATGGCAAAAAGGTGTCCTGGAAAGCAAAACACTGCCGCATTATCAACTAAATGATATTACCCAAGTCAGTTCAAAGGAACAGCAATATATTCCGTCCTGTCCCGATCCCAGGCCGCCTTTTTCCCATTTCTTTGGCATGCAAATCGATCTCGAGGCCGGACACGTCACATCAGCCGAATTCCCGCGACTCTTTAATATCCCTCGGGAAATTCTAATGTCTTCTGTGCCACTCGTGCAAGTGGCCTTTTCACGAAGTTATGTGGAGTGGAGCCGGCGGGATAGTTTCCCCCTTCTATTTTATCCGAAAATATTCTACTGCCTCTTTGATTTTACTTAGAACAGCAATCTTTCAATGCAAACCTCTCACTATTCCCCCCACTGATTCTGTGCTAATATGGATATTTTTAATGCCCGCATTTGCACCGACTGACTGGTGGGAGTTTAGCAAATTGGTTCTAGTCATATATTGCAAATTTTGTTGTTCCTTTGCGTTGAAACTATGTAATTCTGGCCTATTTAAAGCGCAACTCGTAATATAGATGAGTCTGACTATCATTATGGTACGTATATCAATATAGCGTTTTCCATTATGGAAATGTCCAATCCATTATCGGGGCGCCATATTGTCTTATTCAGAGATGTCTAGAGTACTTCAGCGTCTATAAATTTTCAACTGCACAATATTTCCGTCTCTGGAATATGTAGAACATTTTTGCATTCCGGGATATTGCTATTTATTCCAAAATATATCTCAGGCGATTGAAAAGGGCGAGAGCTATATAGATGAGGTATTTTGGACCAGGAGAATATCTTGCTGCAATCGGTTGCATTTTGTTTATTTTGAAATACTGCCACAATCTTTTCTTGGGATAGAAATATGAGCACTTGAAAAATCCAGGACAGGAGCGAATCGAGCTAATTTCAGTTGAGGTTTAAAGTGAAGCTTCTTTTACTAAGCCCCACACTGAAAAAAACGACTAAAAGTCTGCTAACCGCTTTATATTGCGGCTTCTTTCTGTTAATATTAAGCAATTGGAAGTTGGGCCGCCACTTATCTGGATGCGAAACAAAATGCGACGAGATAAATCAAAAGGCACTGTTGCGAAAATCACTTTCTCAGGGGAGAACGTGTCGTATCCGGGTCATTAGAATAGCCCGAGGGATATTTGGGACTTGGGATGATGCGACGTGATGTCCGGTCCAGAGATCGATTTGCATGACCAAACGAATTCGGGTAGGCAAAAGGTATCCAAGATGGATTGTTTTTCCCAATCTAAAATGACACTTTAGATCATACAGCAGTCCTTTCGAGGACATTTATACATCAGCAAAGAAACTCGAAAACCGCGTTTATTGGTTCGTTAGAAACTCAGATAACTGCCAAGATAAAAGGGAAAAACTTTTGCAGCTTTAGAGATAACAACAATAAATTAATAATACATGTCGAACTAAGTATCATAGTCGCCAAGTCGCCTAAAGCCAGATGTATTGCAATATAAATTCTAATAGCCGACAATGTTCAAGTGTGTTGGCTTTCTAAGGAGACGGGTATATTGTTTAAGAGAGGATTTATGGAAGCATAACGGTGGCAGATATCTCTGGCTAAGACACACAGGATTCAGATAATCTATTAGATGGTTTTGCGTTGATAGTTTCAACAATGATTTAAGGAAAAGTCCTATCGAAGGTAAAATCAAACGGAACGTTTTTTCAACACAACAGGCCTAATTAATAACGCTTTGCCAAAACGATTAACAAATTTGAAACTATTTAATGTACCTGCCATATTGGCACCGTTGCATTTCATAAATCAAATTCACAGTAGCTGTTTTCGTTCTAATTCAAAATGTTTTGGTGCTTAATTTGACCCATTGTTCCAGCCAAGAGAGCCAAAAATGGATTGTTTTTAATTAACTTGATTTATTGTGTTGTTTCGTGAATTCAACTTCAAATTAGGTTGAAATAGAACTCGGGGATGCATAAATTATTTAAAATTTAATTGGCCGTACACTAAACGCTGTAGTACGTATAAAACCTTTTAATTACGTTGAATTGCCGTAAATGCGCTTTAATGTACGTTGTTTTCTATCTTAGGCCGATAGTTTATTCCGAATTAAATCAGGGTATTTTGCTGGCAGTTGAATTTAAAAAAAGTTGCATTTTGACGGATTTATCATCAACCTAATGGAAAAACCATTCAGATACTCGCGTCGCGTTAAACCTGTAGTTTATTCCTAAAATGCATAGTCAGAGATTAAATTAATCGAAATAGAAATCAGAAATTGTGTGCTCTACCGGCTCTCTCTATTCAGCGGTACTAAATTTTCACTGAAATTTAAATAAAATTTTACAATCGCGCACCGGCTGACCGAATTTATCCCCGTTCACATTTTACTCGGAACAAATTTTAGTAAATTGCGATGAATCGAATTTTTAAATCCCCCCAAACGCCGAAGTTATAATTATGGCCATTAATGAAATTGTGGCAGATAGAGTACATTAATTAATACATAGGAGAAGTAATTAATGCTATTTAAATTCACAGTTATATAATATGGTAGTGAATTGATACGTTTTGCGGATAAATTGAATTATACTTCGTTTCTACTATATTTCATTGCGGAAAAATACTTCGCAGCTGCACATGCCTTGTTGCTGTTTCAGCCTTCTAATCGCCAGTTTTCATATACACATACACGTAAAAAAATCGATTTTCTGATATATTGAAGCCGGAAAAGAAGTGAAATAGCTGATGGAGTTAACCGAGCAGGATAAAAACGATACTTTTAGTAAACCATGCGTATTGTGACTTTTGATTCTCTATGAGCTTGTTTACCAAGCAGATAAGCCTAAGGAAAAGCCCATTGAACCAAATGCGCTAATAAAGCTTTCATTCGCGCCATAATGCTTCGCAAATTTCTTCTTCAACAATAATTCCATCCGTCGGATACTTTCGTAGCCCATCTACGTTTTGTCGATATTACAATTTATACCGCAATATATCTGGATGGGCAGGCAAAAAAATCGTACTCGCATGGGGATAACTGGAAAGCCAGATGCACCACCGAAATAGAAAAAGACCGTAATGCGCACACTAAATAACTTAAAATAAGACATTTGAAAGGCCGCTTGTCTGGATGCGGAAGAAAACGATGCCATAAATTACACCATGCAGGATTGCCGTTCTTTTGCTTGTTTTGCATTGGACGCTGGCAGGTCCAGAGGGATCGGTACTGATTCTCCAGATCAAGTCCGACTCACTCTAGACGAGTAACTCATTATTTCCAATCATTTGCTGTTTAATTGAACATTTCTGGTTTGGTTTTTCCTAAAGTTTCTTCTCTATAAAGTCTCACCTTGTTGATAGCGCTCAAAATTTTCCAAGGGTCATTTATGTATTATGAAACAGCTTTTATGCAGTGTGAACATAAATCTGGAAATTACCAGCGCTTTAAAATGCAAATTATATGCAGATTGCATATTAATGATTATTGCTTGCGCTGTTCGGCGACAATTTGCTTTGTGCGTAATTTCAGTTGCGACCCTTCAACCATGGGCCATGGGGGATTAAATTCCGGCCTTTTTCGTTAAATTAATAGTTTTTTTCCAAGTGCTGCAACCCAATTTAGTGAATGATTTTCAATTTCCCCATCTTGATAGTGTTGATTCTATTGATGCGGCCGCAT